AAAAAAAAAAAAAAAACTCGAAAATCTAGAGTCTAGAGACCGCCAATCCCGGAAACCTCGAAGATCTGGCCTTGTCCGCGGCTTCCTTGTCCCACCAGGCGCTGTCTCCAAGCGAGTCCGGGCCTGAAGCTGTCCCGAGGCCTGCAACTCATCGCCTTCTTTACGGAACCTTAAACCCCTAAACCCCTAGGCCCCTAAAACCCGAAACCCCTAAACCCCTAAACCCCTAAACCCTAAACCCTAAACCCCTAAACCCTAAACCCCTCAACCCTAAACCCCTAAACCCTCAGCCCCTCAACCCTAAACCCCTAAACCCCTGAACCCTGCACCGGGGCTCATGACAAGGAACCCTGAAGCCTCTCTTTGGCTTCGAGAGGTCCTGAAATCGTAGACCCTGAGCCCAGACATAAACCCTAGATCGGCCCCACCGGTATCAAAGCTCGGAGGGGTAGTGGTTTCGGGATTGGTTTAGGGCAAAGGATTTTCGGGGCTGCTAAAGTTTCGTCCATTCGGTCGGAGCTAGCAGCGTGTTTAGGGCACAGTCTCTGCAGCCCAAGTGCCCACCAAGGCCGCCTCGAGCTCCTCTTCAGGCGTTAGGGCTTGCAGGGTTTAGGGCGTCGACCCGAAAACCGTATGGGTAGTTCTCTAAATTGGGGTCCCTTCTGGGGACCTACAAAAGGATCCTAATTTGGAGAACTACCCATATACTCTCGCAACACCTTCGACTTGGGTTCCTGCGTGTCGCCTCCCCGAAGACGTACTTGCCAATCCACTCCGCCAAGGCATCGTTGGTAGCTCGGCACTCGCCAAGAACCTGTAATATGGAGGAGGGCCGCAACAATCAGAGTAGGGTTTTGCGTCATACAATCTGTATCTATCAACCCATCTATCTATCCATCCATCCATCTACCGATCTACCTATATCTATCCATCCATGCATCCATGCATCCATCCATCCATCCATCCATCCATCCATCCATCCATCCATCCATCGATCTATACACAGACATGCATACATACACGGGCTGTGAGGGGGACTCTTGGCTAAAGTCTGCCTCCCGACCCCTACAGGTAAGGGCCCGGGGGCCCTCGGGGCTGCAGGCTTCGGGGGTTTGATGCGAATCGGACAACAGTAACAAGAGGAAGGTCCATTTCGAGGCATCCCGTCTTACTGGAGAGGAACCCCCGCCCTGTCCCAAGCAGGCTCCAGCGCTTTTCTGCCGCTGACATGATGCCAGGTCAAGAGGGCATCAAAAGTCCAAGACAATGAGCGGCCTGACGCAGAAGGTGTTCTTCGCGCAGGACCCAATCCGGATTCTCCCGGCTCCAAGCCGCCCAAGTCCTCCTGAACCGTCCGGCCTTCCACCTCTTTCCTACCAAATTCCCAGGGTCCCTCTGACCATGCTCCACGGGCTCCGTCTACATCGCCAGGTACTGGTCCTGCCCGGCTTCTCCCGAGCCAGGGCCAAGGCGCCTCCAGGCAAAAAAGGTCGCGGCCAGGGCCGTGCTAAGCAGGGAGACGAGGCCGAGCAGCGCGAGCCCACGCGGAGGGCCAGCTGCCAGGCCCTGCTCGTTATAAAGTATATCAGACTATGTTACATTATATTCGACTGTAATTATTCTTTCTTATACTGTCCTCGATTATACTATGCTATGTTATCATAATTAATGGCTTCAAGGGTTTAGGATCTAGGATGTTTGGAATTAGGGTCCTGGGCTTGGAGGTTTAGGAACACTTCTCTGCCCACCTCTGCCACCAATGCAGCTCCCTTCTTATCTCCGACAGGCAGCACGTGCACCCTGGTGCCGTCAACGTCGAAGACCACTGAGACCTTGCGAAGAAAGGGGTCGCCGATGATCCTGAGATTCAGCTGTTTGGCGGTTCTCGTGCTGCGAGAGGGGCAGATCTTGCAAACCTCAGGCCTTGATGTCTCAGCCATGTCCTCTGAGCGAATTTGGGGCTTACTAAGATCCCTGGGTATCCCAAACCCTCGTCAGTGATTAGGCCTTGCTGAACACTCCAGGGCCTCACGCAATCCACGTAAACCCTAAACCGTGACCCAGGACCCATAACAGCTTCCTGCCAAGGTCTCAAGTAGGGGATGTTTGCGCTGGCCGGAATCACCAGGAGGCGAAGCGCACAGTAAGAAGAAAAGAGAGACGTCGGAGGCTCCAGCAAGTCGTCCTGTCTCACACGCAAGGCTTACTTCATCGGGATGGTCGGGCAGGATGCGTTTGCCTTACGCAAAGCGTTGGAGCTCAGGAGCGAGAAAACGGTTCGAGTAGCCGGCTTGGGGGAATTGAACTGTAAAGAAAAAGAAGTGCCCAGCGAATGGAGAGCTCAGCTGCCCAGAGTGCGGAACAGCGACAAGTCAAGCACACTCCGACCCATGGAGCGATTCTTTTCGAGAGTGCACCCGTGCCCTCTGTGCATGCAGAGGTCCTGGGTGAGGGTCACCTTCAAGGTTCTCCCATCTTCGCCAAAAAGCTCGAAGACAAGGTCGTTCAGTCCGGCGTCGCACCTGCCCGTCTGCGACCGAAGTTTGGGGTAAACCCTTCGATCAAGGGTTCCAAATCACCAAGGCTGCGTGAGCTGGTCCTCTAGTGTTCATAGTGAAAAACCGGGGGCTGGAAGCACAGGGCAAGCTACTTCGGGGGCCTGGGAGAGCCCGCGACCATTCACCGAAGTAGCGCGTCAAAGGCCGCGAACTTAGGTAAAAACAGTTATCTTTGCGTCCTAACTTAGGACTTAGGTGGCCCGGGTTATCCCGGGTTCCATCGGTTGTACATCCTTGGAGCCTCCCCACCTGCAGAGCAGCCTCTGAGATTCATCCACTGCAAGGCTGGGAAGCCCTCCGTGGCCGTAGGTAAGCGCCATGACCAGGTAGCCCACCAAACCCTCCGCGCTTTGTGCTTCCGGCTTAAAGGGATGTAGGGTAGAGCTAGGGTGTGTAAAGTGGTAGAGGGTTGTGCATCCTTGAGCTTCAAGCATGGGCTGAGTTGACGGTCGGGCGGTTCGTGACAACATACAGGCAACCTAGAACCACCAAGACGCTGCTCCTCAGGCACGGCCAGGAAAGAGCTGCCGGAATCCAGGAGGCCCTTCCCTTTCGCCAGAAGCAGCTGATTTTGATGCTTGTCGTTGAAGACCGACATTTTCACCTCTCAGCTGTAACAAGGTGTCCCCGAAGCTTTCAACAACACCCGGTCCGGATCCCTTTGTAACATCTTGCAGAAGTGACCATCCCAATGCGAAGCCTTTGAGGAGTCCCGACCTGCACCATCCAGTAGCCAGGCTCCGGGTCCTGCTCTCTATTCATGACCTTGACGGGGACGCTGCTGCCGCCCTCCTCTTTTTCCATCGCTTTCACGAGATCTTTCACTTCACCCAGGCTGAGAAGGCTCTCGCCGCCTTCGCCGCGCAGCGCCAGGGAAAAGCCAAAGTGCTTGCAGCCGCTTTGGAGCTGCAGAGCTTGGAGGAGTGTTTGATTCGTCGGCGCTTGCTGCAGCAGTGGAAAAGCCAGTCCTGCCAATCCTGAGCTGTTGTTCTGGAGCTTCATTCAAGTTACCAGGATAAGGATATGTTATCTGCTGTCCGTCTCACCTCTCAACCAGGACACCAAAAATTGAGAGTCTTTACACCTCACGGAACCCTTATCTAATCTAACCCTGCAAAATAAACAACCTGACAGGTTCCATATGAAGAGCCCAGAATCCGTCAAAGGCGCCCTGCTCCTGGACGCCCTGAATCTTTACCGCAAGCATGAGCTCCAGCTGCTTCAGGCACAGGGACCCAGCACAAACACGCTCTTCGACGATGGGGATCGCTATGACCTCACCGAGGCCGTATCGGATCATATACTCTGGTACGAGTCGCTGTCCACGAACGTCCTGTCGCCGCGGCGAGGCACTGACCTTGCAGTGACTCTTTTAGCAAAGCTGCACAGAGTCATGCTGACAGCCTCATAATACGGTACAGAAAATGTGAAGAGCAGTTAGTAGAGAAGACCCTAAACCCTAAACCGTTGGGCAAAGCATTCTAAGAAAAGCCAGGGCACAAGCTTCTGACCATGCACTTCCTCCACCAACAGGTTCGGCTTCAGCCAAAAGTCAGCAGAACCTCACTTGGCAACGCTTGCCCTGGCACTACCACAGACTTAGCTTTCTGTTCGAAGGATGAAGCATTCAGGTCACCGGTGTCCACCACGACCCGAGCAGATCGTCCAGCAACTCCTACGTCCAGGTCCGCCGTATAGAGCAAACTGTTCACCTCGCGACGGGTTCCAAACTTCCGGGCTCAGCTCATCCCATCTATGGATTCATAGTATTGTCTTCATGAAATCACTGTTTTAGTGGACCCAGCAGCCAACCCGACCGGAACTACAAGTAGGATTTCATCCCGGACCCCAAGCCTTGAAAATCAAACCCCAAAACGCTAGACACCCCTAAACCCCCAAACCGCTGAACCCTTGCAGTAACCCTTGTACCAACACTTAAGAGAACCCTCCCTTCAACCTACCAAAAATCGCGAAGCTCAACCAGAAAAACCTCAAAAACAATTCTGACTTGACTTGCCGCATTCCTCAGCTCCAGCGTGGCCGAAGCGGGAGCGGCCAGGAGCTGCAGGCCCAGAGTCGGCCCTGCATGGGAGAAGAAGTCAGAATCGAGTAGAGAAAATCTGGCTTCGCAGCTGGGTTACTCTTCAGATCGCCGAGAACAAAAAACGAAAGCAATAGGTTCTCGCTGGGTTACGCCTCACGAAGCCGAGAACACAGGCGAAAACTCAAGTTTCTCAGACAACCGACCCGCTGCAGAAACCCGGGTCCTCGCAGCGAGGCGTTTCGGAACAGCGGGTCGGGGCTGAAGCCCAGCTCTGACACCTCCAAGCCAAAGGCCTCAACACTCTTGCAAAGACCCGTCTGTTATTTGTTTTATAGATATGTGTTTACATTTATCGGTAAATTCTATGTTTATATGTCGGATCTCCGTGTCTTCCTACCAACCGACCGCTATCTACCTAGCTAATACTTTTTTGCAAAAACGTATGTGTATGCACACAGGTATACATATGTTCGGGTATTCTGTTACATATGCATATGTATGCATATATGAATATATTCTAACTACCTCCGGTATGCAGGTAGGTAGATATGTAGGTAGGTAGGCAGATAGACAGATAGTCACATAGACAGATTCACAGGCAGATCGACAGATAGATCAAGGATAGATAGATGTGTGGATAGGTAGACAAGTAGGTGAACAGATAGATAAATTGTCAGATAGGAAGATATACAGTATACAGATAAACACACACAGAGACGACAGAACGATAGGTAGATGAGATGTCGGTAGGTAGATAGATAGCTAGATAGCTAGACTGATAAGAAGCAGACGAAATACTACTCATGCAGATACGATAAGATGTGCAGGCCCGTGCCCCTGCACGCACGAACATGCACACATGCACATGCACATATGCATTGCATGCAGTCATGCATGCATGCAAGCGCTTGCGAATTGCCTGTCACAGGCCCACTTCAACATGCCAATTGCCCTTTTGAACCGTTTGACATCCCTACATGTCGAGACCGGGCGTGAAGCTCAATCACTGATCCTACGCCGAAACTTGCACAGGACGTGATTGGGCTATCTACATCTCATCATGCCGGCCTCTTTGCCGAAGCTCCGCCATCGTCCTGGTGGGTGTAGTCTCTCGGACTTAAGGTTTTCGGGCTTGGGTTTCGTGGCTTCGCCTTTGCCTTTGGAGGATCCGGACTACTCTCGCATAGCGCTTTCGAACTTTCTGGTCGCGGAACTACACGTGGCTTGACCCTAAACCCTAAACCCTAAACCCCTAAAACCGGCACCCAGTCCTGGATTAAGGCGCTGTCCCTGCTGTCGAACCGCCCGCAACTTCACCGTCACAGGGGCCGGGTGCGCTCCACCCAGCAGTAGTAAGAAGGCTAATGTCGCCAGCGCCATTGGCCGGCTAGGAAGCGGGTATTGGGCCTAGCCCCCTGTTTTGACATAACTTGAGACTTACTCATCTCATGAGTCTTTGCCATGACAGTTCTGCTGAGCCATGCATGCAGGCCAAAGCATAGGCTGGTTCGAGCTCAGCTAAAGCCACCTTTTGCAAAAACATCAGAGTGCTCCTGTAGTACACTTATTGTAACTTCAGAATGAGCTCCAGAATACTTGAGGCTTTCGTATCCCCTCCTCCCGACTCCTCCAACCCAGGAGCCTGGCACTTCAGCCGGCAGTGGTGTCTTCCAGCCTGCAGGTCCGAGCTTCGGAATTCGGGGCCGGTAACCTCCCCCCGTCGAGGGCCATGGCCATCTTCAGGAGAAGGTGGGGAAAGACCATACGTCACCGTGTAACTTCCACCGGGTGCTTGAGAGTGTTCTGTCAGCTTGCAAGTCTGAGACATAAACACTGGCAACGGTCAGACTCAGAGGCTCTTGGGGTTTAGAGTTTGGGGCTGAGGGCTTCATCGTATCAACCAGGCTGGCCCAAAAACGGATTGCACCTGGCTCTCCGGGCAGGCGAGGCCACTCATTGTGATCTCCACCCTGGCCATGGGTCGTTTCTGATTCTGATGCGGGCAAGGGACTTTGGGTTTTGGGCCAAGTTTTGTGGTGGGATGGCTTATGCTGGGCGATGCTGACACCAGGTGCACCTTTCCGCAGAGCTTTCCGTAACGGTCCGCGGGAATCACAGCTGTTGCATGCAACCAGTCTCAGAGAGTCATTCCTTTTGTGCTGTCTTTACCAGGCCGAATGTCTAGGCATGTTTGTTCTCATCCACAGATGAAACACTTCAATCCTAAGTTTCTCTTTGCGGAAGAAGCTCCCGTAACCCTAAACCCCAAACCCTAAACGGAAGACCCTGGGCACTCGTAGCACTGAGCCGCACCGACTCTGAGGCGTGGGCACCTCGTGGTCGGCGCAGCTTCGGCCACGGCTCTTTTCACCATGAGGCCGGCCTGATTCGACTCACGAGATTTCAGGGCTTGGGGTTTCAGGGATGCTCGGCTTGTAGGGTTTGGGTTTTTTTGGTCTTTGGGTTTTTTTTTTGAGGGCCTTTTTCCGTCCTGCAGCAGTCTTTGGGGTTTAGGGTTCCAGGGTTTTGCGAAAACACCTAGATGTATGGTGCATGCACTGAAATTCTACATGCAAAGAGCTAGCTGGAAGTGCATCTTTTATCTCGGCACTGAAGCAGAAAACGACGCGGTAGTGGTTCACTGCCATGGGATACTGTCTGAGAAAGCATCGGTTTCAGACTGTTTCAGATGTGCTGCAAGTCCGGATCATGCCCTCGCTCTAGAAAGACGTGTATTGATACATGTCATGTCACTGTCACAACAGGCCTCCTGTCGAGACCCGAGGCTTTGTCGTCGTCCCTACGAAACGAACCCAATCCGTCACAACCCAACGAGCACGGAGCAAGGCTGGGTGGTCCCGACGTCCAGCGTGGCTGTGGCATGATCGCCCAGGCCCACGACGCGCAGTTTCGGGCCCAACACCTCGCAAGGGCAGAAAAGTCGCTGCGGACGGATCTTGCTGGTGCGGTCACCGCAGGACGGTCAGGCGGACGCGTGCGCCTGTTGCAAGTGGTGGCGCGCTTCGGCCTGGAGCAGAAGGCTGATTCTCCGCCCTGCGAACGATCTGCAAACGATGGTTTCCGACCCACAAGAGCAAGTGCATAACATCCTCACAAGCCCGGGAACAGAAGAATTGCCATCTGTGCCTCGACTGTGTCCAAGAACACCACGGCAGGGTGTTCCGGCAGGGCCATGGCCTTTACACCATCTGCAGATGGGCCCGGCCCGGGCCATCCGAAAGCACTAAACCCCGTCTGGACTCCCCACATCCCCTCAAACAGGTAGCACACCATCACAATGTGGAGATCGACCTCAGACTCCATCCTGCCAGGCACCACCGGAACACTCCGAATCAAGAACGGCTCAGCCCCTACGGACTGTGTTCTACCTGAGGCCTAGAACACCCTGCTGAACATCGCGTTCGGATCGCACGATGCTCAGAGTACAGAGACAACGGGGCAGAAGCAGCAGACGCACGGAGATGCAGGCTCAGCCCTCCCGACGCAGCCTCGGTGGCCCCTCCAAAGGCCGGCGCCAGTGGGGTTCCATCTGGTCAGTTCTTGGGAGGGCTCCGTCACTGCATGAAATCGGTACTTCAACTCGGCTCAGGTGGGTCACTTCTAAGTTCTGCTGACTCTCCGGCACATCTTGGCCCTTTGGCCCACGGCCTCAGGAGTTGACAGCGCCTTGACAAGCCCTTCTTCCTGGCACGTTCCGTGATCCTTGTAGTATGCATCGTTCAAACATGTTTTGTGTGTATATATGTACTGCGCTGCATCATTATCTTACCTTCTCACATCTAAGACTATATTTTTGGAATCTGTTATATCATCATGTAATTAATATTTCTAGGCTTCTGTTTTGTGGCCCTTGTTCGAAGGCTCCCAAGACACATCGCGCGCATCCGATAGCCCAAGCGTAGTTGATCCAGTGAGCCGCAAAAGTTGACATGAAAGTGGGGGCTCTTTTCGGCTTAGCCGTGAAAGTTGCGAAACTGTGAAGCTTGGAACAGCAACGGCTGATCACGAGGGCCCCTTTACAAACAAGTCTAAGACAGAAAGGAACTAAGCTAACACCGACATATCGATAAGAATATAAATATTACCAGTAAGACAATGAAAATGCCATTCATGATCATTAATACAAACAATGATAAGAATAAGAATAATCATCATAATCATAATATGAATGACATGAACAATAACAACAACAATAACAATAGCTTATATTAGTATTACAATCCTTTAAGACTTCCCAAAGCCCCGCACGCGTCCCTGTCGGCGCACCAGCAGGCGCAGCTCTAGCCAGCTAAAGGGCCTGGCCACGCCCAACCGGTTTAAGGCGAACTGGAGCTTGTTTTGGTAACGTGCTCGACAGTCCATGAGGATGTCTTTCAATCCAAGCAGAGTTGCAAGAAAATAGGAATTGGTGGGAGTTTTGGCAGGAGTTCATGAGTAAAGGAGCTTCCAACGGTCAGACAGGAAATGCGTTATGCCTGCAAGCGGCTGTGTACATTGCGGAGGAGCAGTGTTGGTGCTTGTTCGGCGGTTCTACGCAACCTATCTTCTGCACGGTTTCAAGTGCATGAAATCAACATCTCGTCTCTGGACTCTTGCACCACTTCCCCGGCGAAAAAACCTATCCAAGACTTGAATCCAAGACTTGATCCTTGTGCAGGGAATCGAGTCTGGGCTCTGCAAATTTAAATACCAGCTAAGTGCCCAATTGCTTCGGTTCTTGCGCTTCTGGCTACTTGAAAATGGGGCTCTCAACATAAGGGGTCCCTGGCTCTCATTTCTATGATAAAGCGTGAGGTCCTCGATGTCCCTACTTGCCTGAAACTCCATAATTGTTATGGGCCAGAGCTTGGCACCCCTTGAAGGGCGCCTTCAGGGGTGTTTATTCTGCACACCGTGCACCGGAAATATGAGTATTACGGGGGTGCCAGCTGGGGTTCTTGCAGGAAGTGTGCACGAGGCTCTTGCGTAGAAGAACCGAAAAACACAGGACAGCATTGGGCCGTATCTGCACCACTCCCGGGGCGCGGGCCAGCAGGAGTTCTCCAGGAAGGACAGCTCCGAAACTGGACCCAAGAGCCCGAGAGCCTGGCGAATGAGGGGGGGCCAAAAGGTTTGATCCCCTTAGGGCAGATGCCATGCTTTTTCATTTGAGGATACCAGCTAGAAGAACCCATCTTATGCGACTTTCCTTCCGCAACCATGTGGACGGCTTCCACTTCCAGCTCGTCACTCTTACACACAGCGAAGGAGCAAAGGGCTCCCCATAACCGCGAGAGGCCCGCGACTCTCACCCCAGTCAATGCCAAAGTGACACTCTCCTGGCCAGGAGGTTCATAGGTTCGCGCTGAACCGACCGATGCTTTCAGGAGCTCGGCCGAGGGGTTGCAGTTGTGTTTGTTGGATTGAACATGGGATTTTCTGGCACTGCCTGTGGGGTTACAAACCTCCCGACCCTACAACTCCTACGTATCCCTTCACCACACAGGGTCCCGCATGCATTCCACAAGGACTCGAAAAATCTTTAATGCCGACACCTCAAGGCTGGTCGCTTTAATCCCCGACTCCACGGACCTCGGTGGGTGCCACCAGAAGTTCCACAGCTCGGACCTCGAAGGATCAGGCCCAGGCTGCAGCTAACCTCACCTGACAGCCTCGGGAGGCTGAAGCCGTGGAACCGTAACGTGACAGCCTCAAGGGTGCAGATTGGGTTTAGGCCCGAACCCGCCCAAACCCTAGCATCAACCTTGTTCGGGTTGGCAGCGAAGACTTGCATCTGACTGAGTCGAGGGCGAAGAGAGCACCGACGAGCCTGATGGAAGCGCAGGAAGGGCTGCATGAAAGAGGTGATATCGAATCTGACTTCATAATGCTCCTCAAAAACTTGAACATCCCCAAGGTCCAATGCCGAAAACGTCACAGCCAAGGTCTGGCCAACTCTGCTCACATCACGGCTCGGGCTCCAGCTAAGATTTGTTTGATGCCCGGCACCCTCAAGGCTCCAGCCCATAGAGGCAGAAGCCCTCCAAGGCGAGATCACTCATGAAACCTCGGCCGCTTCTTTTCCGGAGCACCACTCTGAGTAGCAGCAGTTTAGGGTTCAGCGGGTTGAGGTGCTTTCTGCTTGGGGAAGCTCTGTCAGGTCGCACGAGTATACCCTGGGTGTGTCATCGCCCAAGCTTCTGAGAAACGTCCCCCCAGAGCACAAATCAGGACCGACTGGCGCCCCTGTTAAAGAGCCCATGTTCGTCCACGGAACAAACACCCATGTAATGTGGAGAACAAAAGACAACCCCTTACTCCCATCGTAAGACGTGACTCAAAAGCCAAGCAAGCAACACACGCAAAACACTGAACTCACTCAACAACCCCCACACCCCAAACAGCCCCAAAACCCTAACAAACGTCGAAGAAGCCGTGAAAGCTTTTGCTTAAGCTCCCGCTCAACAAAGGAAGCAGAGTCTGAGAAAATCCTCTCTTTGCCGTCGAAGAGCCGTCCGATCCGACACTGCTCTGATCCTGGCCGCATCACTCTTCGGACTCTTAGGGTCTTAAGGCCTTGGGGCTTCGAATTTAAGGCCTTGGGGTTTCGAATTTAATGCTTTGGAGTTTCGAGTTTAAGGCTTTCGGGTTGTAGGGTTTTTTGGTTGCAGGGCGGCTTCGGTGGTTCCGGGTTTCCAAGAAGTTGCTGCGGTCTGAAGTGGTGTTTTCAAGTCGTTTGTCCAGTGGGCTCGTCAAGAAAGCATAATGAATTATGTGAGAGTTGGGTCGTTTCGAGGATTTTGGGAATTTGGGCGTTGTTGGGCTTGAGGCTTTAGGGTTGTGGTCCTTCGAGGCTGTGAGGTGCAAGTTTTGGGCTTGATATCTTGGCATCCACCAAGCCTGCCGGGTAGACGTACGCTGGCCTTCCGCCGCCTCCGCCAAGGCTCGATTCCGGAACTGGGCCCTTGCTTGCATCAAACACGAATTCTCGACAGGCCAGCCTTTCCCACTGAAACAACTTCGCTTCAACTCTCACTGAACAGCTCAAATCCTACGTAGTAAATAACTCTCCCTGTGCCTTGCGCCACCTCCCAAACATCTGGCCTTGGTTCAGCGGCGACGCCAGGTCGCGCGCGAGGCGGCGCGCAAAGAGAAGATGGCCCCGCCTGAAATCAGAATCCGACGGAGCCAATTACGAAACTGTAGACAAGCGCAGCAACGGCACAAATGGATACCTCAGCTCCACGACTTTAGTAGTTTTCCGCCGTAATAGTTTCTTGCATCAAGTAGACTTACCTGAAACGGTTCGCCCCAGACGCAACGTGCCGCACAAGGTGAAGCTCTGAAACTGGACGACAACGCAACCGAAGCAGCAAGGAGGCGAGTAGCGGGGCACACCGAAAAAGCCAGGTTCCTTCAACCCCTCAATCTAGGAACTCCAAGGAATCTAGGAACTCCAAGGAAGCCCCCGAGATGGAAGAGGCTGAGGATCCGGCTCCACCTCCATCTCGCCCGTCCAGCTTTGGAGGAGCCTCCAAACACCACGACAACAGAAGGAAGCCCTATACACCTTAGACGCCTCAAACCCTAACCCCAAACTGCACCCAGAGCCCTGAACCCTGAGTTTCACCTCAAGCAATACCAACTTCGCGGCGACCCTTCTAGGAGACCCACTACCATTACTACCGACCCTTAACAGTAACTTTTCTACCAACCCTAAACCCTAAAAACCCTAAAACCCCTAAAAACCCTAAAAACCCTAAAAACCCCAAAAACCCTAAAAACCCTAAAAACCCTAAAAACCCGCTGAACCCTTGGCTAAACCCGGCCGTCCGGCTTCTGAGCTCCCTGGCTGCTGCGCAAGCTCCGCAGTGGCAGCTCCAGGGGGCCGGGCTTCCAGCAACTGTCGGCCTCAAAAAGGAACTCTCGATGAGCTGGTTTAGGGCTTAGGTTTAGGGTTTTAGGTTTTAGGGTTTAGGGTTTAGGGTTTAGGGTTTAGGGTCGAGGGTTTAGCTGTTTGTGTCTGCCCACCCATCCATCTTCCTATCGATCTGCCTAGCAGCCCATCGATCCATCCATCTAACCATCTGTCAACCCATGTATGCATGAAGAGAAGTTCTTAGTATTGCTTTACTGATTACTACTACGATGCTTGGTATGATGTTTAGTCTCACTACTGCTCCTACGTATCATTGCTTGTCACATACTTATAAGAACAACCATCAGCACTACTGTTGCGAGATGGTCGCAGTGGGTTGCTTGCCTTAAACCCCTCCACACCTGGCGGATCCTCCTGAAGCTCTTTCCGAAAGCTGGCCCAGGAAGGATCCTCGGCGCAGAATTTATGCGTGTGTCTATATCTGCATCTATATCTATATCTATATCTATATCTACATGTATATGTATATCTATATATATATATCTACATCTACATCTACATCTACATCTACATCTACATCTACATCTATATCTATATCTATATATATATATGTATGTATACACACACTACTCAAGTCTTTGTTGATTCGATTTTATGTATGCATTAGTTTTCCGACTTGATTAGCGTGTATGTACATATGCGTTGATATGTGTATTTACTCATCCACGAATCATTTTGGCATACCACAATATACCGTCACACACCTGAAAATGCTGCAGCATACACAATCAGACAGCAAGCCGCAAGACACCATAATTCATGCGAGAACCTACTGCACGATGCCTTACCATAGCCACAGCGTAGCAACACTGCCGCGACAAGACATCGCATGACATGACATGTCATGTGACTTGACACAATTATACAATAAAAACTACTGCAAGACACTCTGGGCTCACGGCCCAGCTCCCTCCTTCGCAGTCCAGGAAGCGAGGTCTTCGAAGACCTCTGCCGTGGCAGGGTTTAGGTTAAATGTAAAGGGTCTGGGGCTTTTGGGGATCAAGGGCTCGAGCTTTCGGGTTTTAGCAGCTCAGGTGCAATTCGGCCTCGCAATTCCGGTCTGTGACAGAAGCCGAAGCGATATACTATCACGCGCCAGAACAGGCGTCAGGGGAAATGCTATAATAAGAGCAGGCGACATTTGTTCCATTACCTTACATACATATCTGCCGTGTCTATCTATGTATCTCTCTACCCCTCTATCGATATATCGATCTTTTGCATCCATCTATCTGTCTGTCCATCCATGCATTTATCTATCTATCTGTCTATCCATCCATCCATCCATCCATCCATCCATCCATCTGTCTATCATCCATCCATCCATCCATCCTTCTGTCCTTCCACTTATCCGCCTTCCATGTACTGACCTACTTGTCCATCCGTACATGTCTATCCGTACAATGTACAAACATTTGTACATCGACTTATCTGTATATATCCAAATGCACATTACACGCATACCACATATATATATATATGTATACATATATATATATATATGTATGTATGTATATATGTATGTATATATATATATCAGTATATATACATATATACATGTTCGTAAAACCGCCGCAGCCCGGTTTGGCAACAGCGCCTTGCCCATGGCATTCGGACCAGTACCAGCCTGCAGAGCATGGAAGTCTAAGGCATCGAAGAAGGTCCCTGGATATTTTCGCGGTCCATGCATATTGAGGGTCTACAGAAGAGATTAGGGCTTTAGAGTTGTTGCCCTTGAATATAAGCAGCTGCACGCAAACGACTCCGAGTTGGACTTAGAGCAGGACGCTCGCTCTCTTCGAGGTGCAGCGCTTCTTCCGGCAGCCTTCACGTGCAAAGGCAGAGGGTCACTGTGTTCGGTGTAAATTCGGAGGTTTAGGGTACAGTCCCATGCACGAGAGATTGAAACAGTTGATCTGTCGATGTAGGACATCTTTGGGCTTTGCACAAGGGTATAGCCAAAAGACCGCCCGAGAACCCGCTGCTGACAATCTCAGAGACGTTGAACATGAACCTATCATTTGGCTTCCAATTAACGCAGAGCAACCGCGCCGTATTACATTCTATGTTGGCGCTATGATGCAGCACAACAAGCCACACTTCACCATACCAATATGAGAACGCACCGTGCTCTACTACAATGTACAGGGTTCAGCATGTGCAGAACCGCAAACAAGAATATGCTTGAAAATGCTATACTGTACTATACACCAGCCCGATCCGACTCCCCATCCGGCAGATGCTGGGCTTGGAACAAAGACCAGCCGGAAGTGAGTGGGATGCAGGCCTTCAGCGGAAGATGCGGCTTCTGCCACTCTTCTCAGGCACCTGGGGCCCTTGCTCTAAGGGCTCCTGAGGCCCCGGCCAGGGCCCCTGGAAGCTCCCATACCATGGATTATATGGCATGGTCTGCTGAAGACCAGTGGACTGGGAGAGTTGGCAGTATTGGAGAACATCGGTTGCGGAATCTTAGGGAAGCCAATTCAGTGACTCCCTGCTTGCATCCCCTCTCGGCCATGGAAAGGTCAACACTTCTGCTGGCCACAAGGTCAGGCTTGCAAGTATGTTCTGCGGTGTGGTGCACTCCAGAAACGAATCCCCATTCGGCAAGCCAGTACATCCAATCTGATGCGTTTGTCTTTCGCCCCCCGCCAAAGTTCCTTTGCAGATTTATCAGCTTTTTGTGGTCCAGGACCATCACTGAGGCGTGACTCTCCGATAGTGGCGGCTCGGCATCTTTTCTCACACGCATCTGACTCGCTGCAATTTCTGGAAGGTCCGCCCGCGAGATCTGCAGCTACGATTCAATCGAGCTGAACGAGGAGACTAGTGACTAGAGATCGGGGTGTCCTCAGTCCTCGCTGCACGCGTCACGCCCTGGCGAAGCCGCAGTCGTGAGACTCGTGAGGTCGTCAGGATGAGATCTCTTGTTGTGACAAGTACAAGAGGCAGCTTTATTGCGGATTGCTCCCGTTCCTATCCTGTCCGCGATCGGAGCACATGAATACGAGACTCTTTGCTTGGTACAGAAGCAAGCGCGGGCGCCTCTGTGGTGCGACCTGCAGTGAGGAGTTTGTCTGGCGCTTTCAGGTGGAACGGTTTCGAAAAATCTTCTGTAAGTCCTGCCACCAGAACAGCAATCACTTCACCTCCTCCCTCGGTGTCCACCGAAGACCCCGAAGTTGGATGCTCCCGCGCCCTGAGGGTGGGAAGCCGCTGTGGTCCCGGCAGAGCCAGCCTTGCCATCCATGCGATCCTTGATCTTGCCCTGGCATCATTGGGCTGAGCAGGCCAATGCGGTTCAGATTCTGTGTGCAGGGCTTCGACTGGGCTTCAGCTCAAGCCTACCACTGCGGGAGGATGGTGGTGGAATGTTAATGCTTGTGGATGTACTGTCCGCTGACAGTGCATTGGCGAATGCAAGATGGTAGGAGTCTACATGCCAAACCGCACACCCACAGGATTCAGCATACACCACATCAACCGTGGCAACCAGGTGCAACGGGCCCGCAGGCTGCCGAACGCGATCAGGGACAGCATGCAGTTCAGAGCCACGGCACCTGAAAGCAACCACAAGGACCCCCCATGGACAACTACAAAGACCGGGGTTCCCCAGTTTCCCGGATCGTGCAGAAAAAACGTGAACTTGAGGGACTTTCGGGAATCGCATGGTCCAGGATGTCCAACTACAGAAACAGCGGCCGACGGAATGAATGCATTATACTTTGTACACGAAAAAGTATCATATACTACAGTATAATATGACATTCTTTAACATACTAGAATGCACAGAAAAAATGGCTGTGCCAAGCCTGTCAGCGCAGATGGAAACTTCCACGTGACACGAGGACCTGGCCGGCCACCTCTGCCGGAGAGGCGCCCTGGCACGCTAGGGTGTAGTATAACACATTGTAGCATATTCGATTATATCATATTATAGTGTACATACCATAGTATACCGTAGTTCATTATATTATATTATATTATAATATATTGTATTGTATATATTATGTTCTATATATCATAGTGTTAAAATATGGTATGATAGAGCATATTTGACATTAAGAAACCTCGGGTTTCTGTTAGGGCTCTTGCCGTGGATCCGGTTCGATGTCGGGGAGCTAGAACTAAGCACCTCTTCATCTTCCTGTTCTTCGAATGCTTCCGAGAAGTTACGGTTTAGGGTTTAGGGTTTAGGGGTTAGGGTTTAGGGTTTAGGGAGACCATGGCTGAAGTCCGAAACCCAGAACTAAGAGCACTGAAGCCTGAACGGTAAGCCTGGAAACCTGGCTCCCAAGCACTAACCCGAATAGAAGCCCTAGAACCCTCATAACATCCCTTGTCAAACCCTAAACCCTCAACCCTAAACCCCCAAACCCTAAACCCTCCCTTGTCAAACCCTGTGCCTGCGCCAGGAAAGCCTTGGCCCCGGCCCGCGAGAGCGAAGGCGGCGCAGCCTCCTTGACCTAAGGGCGAAAAGTACATTCAGATTTTTTAGGGTTTAGGGTTTAGGGTAGCATATGATTTTTGTAAATTATCGTATACAATGGTATCATACAGTAAGGTATAGAGTACTATAGTAGGGTATAGTGCGGCATAGAATCTTGTCGTATATGATAGTGCAAGATGAAGCTCACCCCGCCATATTGCAATGATGATAAGAAGAAGCATACTCGACATAAAGAAGGATGCTAACGATACAAATCTGGATAGTTTGGTAGTGAGATGGCAGTGAGATTGGTAACAAGTCATAATCATGATGCTAACCGCAGTGTTCATGAGAATCATATGTAGAATCATACTAAAGATCCTCTGGATTGGGGCCGCCACAACTCCTGGGTCTCCGGTCCGGCCATCCTGGAACAAGCAGCTCGGAGTCAGAAGTCTACGTCGCTTACAGTGAGGCTTAGAGCTGAGGGCTGAATGTTGAAAGGCCCGGTCTACCTTACATGTGGGAGCTTCCGAAAATAAGGGGTACCTTATTTTGGGGTCCTTATAATAAGGATCCTACTATTTGGGGTACTATATTAGGGTCCCCTATTTTGAGAAACCCCATGTAGCGCTCGTAGATGGAAGAATTCAGGCTGGCAGCTACTTCCGGGGATACAGCTTCATCACGACCTGTAGGGCCGGAGGTCAACTTCTCTTAAATGCTCCGACAAAGGAGCTCATACCACCTTTGTCAGGACGATTGCCATCCCTGCTGCTACTGGCCCAAGTTTATTATATTGATTATTGCCATAGTGCTCATCATTCGACTACTACTGCTGGTTACTGGTATTGTTGTTGCTGCCATTTTTAGATACTACTACTACTACTACTACTACGACGACGACGACGACGACGACGAGTACTACTGCAACTAGTCACTACCAAATACTACTCCTACTCCTACTCCTCCTACTCCACCTCCTCCTCCTCCTCCTACTCCTGCTCCTACTCTTGCTCCTACGCCGACGCCTACGCCTACGCCTACTCCTATCCTCCTGCTCCTGCTCATACAGCTACTGCTGCTCCTACTCCTACGCCTACGCCTACTCCAATGCCTGCGCCTACCCCTACTCCAACTCCTATTCCTACTCCTACTCCTGCTGCTGCTGCTACGACGACGACGAAAACTCGTGAAAGTACCGCTGCCACCGATATTACTACAACTACCAGTGGTCTCCATCCTTCTTGCTGCAACCCGCCTCGCCGGGAAGGCCATCCTCGCCTGGCTCCCCCACGCTGCCCTCGTCACCGGGAGGGCCCTGGCCAGCTCTGCGGGTCTCAAAAGTGACCAAACAGAGCCGACAGCCCGCCTCACACGGACGGCGACCGTCGTATTCCTCGCAGTCGGCATTGTCCTTGACACCTGAGCTCCGAACAAAGAGCAAAACTTAAAACAAGATCAAATAGACTTCAGGCCTTTGCAAACCGACCAGCTACTGCCCTGCCAAACAAATCTATGTTTCCTGACCGAGCGGCAGAAGTAGTCTGACGGAGCCTTGCCGTTGGTCTTGGATTTGCACATGTACGGCGCTGACCTCGCTGAAGTGAGATGTTGGCTATGCTGCACAATACCATACTCAAATATACTATACTACACTATACTGTACTGAACTGTACTACACTATATTTTTCTTTACTGTACGTGTACCATACTAAATACATCATACGACACGATACCATACGATACGACACGACACGACCGACACGACACTGCACTGTACTATACTGTACCGTTCTGTACCGGTACCGTACCGTGCTGTACTGTACTGTGCTATGCTGTGCTGTGCTACACTGTGCTGTACTGTACCGAACTATACTAAACTTTACTATTCTTGACTTTACGACTCTCCAGTACACTGTACCACAAAGCATGCTTGCACCATGACATACAATGACTTGTTGTGGTTTTCGATACTGTGCCTGTATCGTCAATCTACAATGTGAAAAACCAGCCTTTCCCGACTATGCCTCACTGCCAGTATGCAAACACTCATGCACCATCGGGCGCTCTTATCGAATGCAATCTTCTCCCATGCGCAATCGCTGCAAAGATTTCGGAGCTCTTGAGCTCTTAGGAACCGGCGAGGAACACATAAAGGTGCCCTTTCTCGTGGCGCAGCAGTCCCTGGGCTGGGATAGCTCTAAACATGAACGACAAGCTGACGGCTTTGTGGGTTTCGGAAAGCACAGCGCAACTGCAGGTGAAGCGCAGTAGTCTGCTGCCACGCTACACTCTCTTGCCTGTTGATATCTGCAAACACCAGCGGGCCTTCTTCTTCTGCGGACTGTCCCCCACGTCGAGACTAACTCCACGCTACATCTTCGTAAGGTTTCTGAAAGCCGACCAGGCCCCAGGCTCCCCATCCTCTTCCGGGTCGCAGAGATCGCTGTTGTAGCACTTGAGGAATTTGCCTCGGCAAGGAGCTTGCCGGGCCGCATACTTCTGCCCGCAACAAAAGGAGAGAGTGCTCCAGTGTTCATCATGTGGTTGATCCATTTTTCTCGAGACCCTCGTGGTGGAGAGCACTCCTACCATTTTGCCGCTGCTAATGAGGAGCTGACGGTCAAAGAAAAAAACATGTAGAGAGAGAGAGAGATAAATAAATATATATATATATGCACACATGCATACAACGCGATCCTTTTTCCGCCTATAGTCGTGACAGCAAAAAATGGCACCAGCAAAACCGCGATTCTTTGGCGATTGATTGCATTCTTCCATGCAAAAAAATCTATTGCACCTTCTTGACATATGCATTCTAGCAAGATTCGCAAGCGTAAACTGTCGATCAAGGAATAGCTCATTGTGTAGCTTACATCGCTTCGTATTGTAACGAACCCTGCTGCGCTCTCGTGAGCTGCTGCATTTGTGAGCTCCAATAAGATAACCGAAGCTCCATAAGACAGGCCCTACATGGCATGATCCTTCACCCTCGGAGGGAGCTCTAAACATGAAGAAGCCCCATATCCGTGGCTGACGAAGATGGGTTCGCGGCTGTCCGTGTGGAGCGGCGGGTTGAAGAACCATGGACAGACCGCCTGTCGGTTCAGAGTTTCGAGTTGAGGCTTCAAGGGTTGAGCGCAGATTTGGGCAAAGGGGCCGAGAGACGTTTTTTTGCAAAGTTCACGCTTGCTTCCTGTCGCGGCTGTATTTCCTGGCTCTACACAAGCACATTCTGGATCCTGGTGTCTCTGTGTCCACCTCTCCAGTGCCAAGGTTCTGAAAAGCACAGCCACATGCTTGCACTGGCAGGCAACCTTTGCTTATTTCCTCGAAGATATCCGACCTGTGAGCACTCAGAAAAAGCGGATGCCTCTGCCCAAACGTCCGAGAGCAAAAGCTCGCCACCTTGGCGGGCTCTTGAGAAACACAACCCCAGAAGTCAGTAAGCTCAAGGGATTTCGATCATGCATAGACCGCTCGATCACGCTGCGAAGCAAGCATACTCGAAAAATGCTTGAAACATGATCTGACACAACATGCTCGAACAGACGATCTAAGTTCCGGACACTCGCCATCCCCACAACTCTCAAGATAAAACTGAGCCCGAAAACCTGCAGCCCCTAACCTAAATCCAACTACGAGGAAAGAAGATTCACCTTCAAAGCCACGGCTTGCGGACCCAAGCCGCTTCCGGACGCCTTCTGAGTGAAGTTCGTGGAAAGCTCATGGGCCATGACCAGACTCGCGACCTCAACAATTCAAACGCTCCTAGAATTGAACTTCGGGTTTAGAAGTATGTGCTCCCAACGGGTCAGAAGAAATCTTTCCGTACTGTGTCTGTTTTTGGTACCCTTTTTCAATCTGCACAGCTGAGGTTGGTTGGAACCCACATTTGTGGGGAGGCACTGGTTTGGGACCCCTTCGTATCAACCTCAATCGCGACCCTGGCCAGCCATCTCATCTGACATCTTGACTTCGTCCTGCATCGACCCTTCATCCATGGCATCATGGTGATCCTCTTCCGCAGCACCTGATTGCTTTTGCGGACCCTTTTTCCATCAGCGGTGTCTGCGTCTGGGACTCCTGGCCTGGTTTTTGGGTCTAGGGTTTCCGGTCGAACTGAGCTCTTCTCTGGGCAAACCCTAAACCCCAAACCCCCCCTCCCTCTCTGCCCTCCCAGTACGAGCTTGAGGCGGTCGGGGAAGGGATCTGATTCCACTGCTTCACCGCCGCCACGTCCTGACAACCCGCCGAGGCTTCGGGGCTTTTTAGGCTTTGGGGCTTTAGGGGTTTAGGGTTTAGGGTTTAGGGGTTGAGGGGTTGAGGGGGTTGAGGGGTTTAGG